GAAACACTTCAAACGCGTTTATTTTCCTTTAACTTGGGACCTTCGCTGGTCCAACTCCTCGCTTTGACCACAAGGCAAGCAAAATGACCTAGGCTTTTGAAGAATGAATGGGGCTAGCGGCTAGAGGTGGGTTCAAAATGGTTCAAACATGTTCAAGGCCTGCATGGATTCCAATAAGTCAAACTATATACATATACCTCAAATGCTTCTGCAAATGACTCCAAAGGAACGCCGTGCGGAGACACAACAATCAAGCCCTACATTCCCAGGTCCAGGTCCGACCCAGGTCCAAACCTCCTGAAAAACGCATGTTGGTCGTTCGTCGTGTTTCTATATTTTTGCGGTGCCAACTGACCTTAAATGGCAGGGTTGAACAAACCAACTGACTCTATTAGGGAGAGACCAACTGTTTCTCCTTAATAGAGTCTGACCAACTGACCGTCCACCGATAGCTCCAGGCGGCGCTCAGCGAGCGAGCCAAACGACGTGACGACACCGGTGACGACATGGAGAGCTGGTGAGCTGGTGAGCAAAACGAATTCCGGTGAGCTGGTGAGCTGTTCCGACATCCAGGTGAGAATTTCAGGTGATTTTATATCAATCTTGATATGTTATGATATGATATCATGGTATGAATTCCATGGTTGTATGACAATGACAAGCCTATCAAACAAATGCTGAACAATTGGGCTGAAGCCACTTGAAGTCTGTGAAGGCATTTGTTGTGGGGCCCTCCGGCCCTCCCCTGCAGGCTACCCCAGGCGATGCGTTCGACGGTCTGCCAACTTAAGTTGGCGGCATCGCCAAAAGATGCCCACCAAAGCGCTTGTTGGTAGGGAAAAGCGGGTGGAGAGCAATGCAACAAAGGCAGCAGCAGTATCAAAGGAATGATCAAAGGATTGGCATCCCTTTCAGACCGCAAGGACGTGCGACGTGCCTTGGCCAGCTCAGCTTGGAGATGAGGAAGCTGCTGCAGGAGTGCAGCCTTAGTGCAGGAACTGAGTGAGACAAACCAATAGCACATGCAGGAGCAATAGAGAACAACAACATGGCGTGCATATATGGAGTTTATATGTGAACCTTCACCAAAATTGGCACACTCTCCATGCCTGTACGGGTTTTTAATGAAGCACCTGACACTTGCAATGTCCAATACCCTAGTTTGGGTCGTGTGGGAGTTCGTGACCTACAACCAAGAATCCCACAGACTTACAGCCAGGCACTGTTTCATACTTTATTTACAAGGGTGTGCCCATCCGCCATTGGCCCGATCCCTCGGTATCCTTCGGTCCCTCAAAACGGATTGGAGACAGAAAAGGGAAACACACCAGTCACCGTTTTTCCAGTTGACTGATGGGGCGGCAACCAGAGTCACATTCTGAAATACATTTTTGTGCCATAGCCGCCGTGGCTCATAAACTTGGTATCGCCCCCCTGTGGATCCACTATAACCACAAGTAGACAACCCGTGGTTCCAAAGGAGCAACACTGTAGACCTGGAATCCCTGGTGCCTTAACTCATTTAGAGAGGTTTCTGGGATCCACTGTTGGTTCTGGGATCCACTCATGCGCCATGCTCTTCACCATTCTCTGCATTCCCAGCAGCTACATTGCTGGGCATAGCTTCAGCGGTTGCACCTGAGCGGTTGTCACAGCAGCGGTCCCTTTGGAGGAAAACACATCCCTTGACCCAACAGAACCCATCGATGTCTGCGACAGGGCTCCAAATTGGATACTAATACTTTGGACTCCTGCAGCTCTCTCTCTCTCTCTCTCCCTTTTTGTAGGCACCCAACTTTAGTATACGCCTACGCCTCTTCACTTCGGAAACTAGCGGAAAGGATCAAGGCTCGGCTCGAGTTCTTGTTTTCACCCACCACCGACCCCTCAGCAATCCAATCAACCTGCGCGCTTCCAGTAATCAGTAATCGAACTCTTTGAATCTAAATTAATAGCTTTTTTGTTACTACTAGTAAGGCACTTGTTACTACTAGCGTGGCACCTGTTACTAGATGAATAGTCAAAATAAGAACAACTTCAGACTTCAGCCGCCGCTGTACCAGGCCTTCGTGGGTTTTCGGCCACAGCGTCCAAACGGGTCCGTCCGTGACTTTCTCGGGCACCCGGCTCTCACGGGTGCCGTGCGGGGCACTCAAGGTCCTTGGAAGTGTCTGGCAAAAAGGCAAAAGCCAACAGCCAAACAGACCCGGAAACTGGTCCCTACCATCAAATACGCCAAGATCAGTGCCATAGTTTGCCAGAAACATGGGAGCTCCACCCAGATTTTAAAAAAGAAAACACTTGGGATAATGAACCCCTGGGATCCACGTAGAGCTCCCAGAAAAACCTGAGGCCCATGACGTCGTCAGAGACGCTTCCGGACATGGAATCGCCTCGCCCACCGGCGGACATCGCGTGCGTGCGCAGGATGGAGCGAAAGCGGAAACGGGTTTTAGAGGTCGGTGAATTTGTCGTCTTCCAATGTCTTCCATGGTGTCTTCTTTTCCAGCTTCCATTTCAAAAACATGACCATTGTTAGTCTATCACCATGCGGATCTATTTTGCTTTGTTACCTAAGAAGTACTCTTATCAGACAGCCCCTCCCCGCAACAAGCCTTTTTTTCAGTGGACGTCCTGGCCCCTGGAAAGACCATGAAATCCTCTATAAGTCTACGGGTGTTTGTCAACTTCCATGTTTGTTGCAGGGAGGGTCATCAGGCCTATCTGGGCTCCTCCGGTGCCACGCGGCTATCCGGTTATAGCGGGTGCTCGGTGCGCCATGGTGGTCACATCGGTGTGTGCTTGAAAACGGCCCCTATAGCCTAAGGCCTAGAGGTACACGAGTAGTAAAGCCCCCCCAAAAGGATAGCTGCGTGTCCTATTGGAACACCGATGAAGGGAGGTCTCCCTATTGGAGCTACACGCTCATGTCATTTTTCCCACAGCTTCTTCCAACACTGGACTCACTGGATTCAACATTGCTGGAACAGGGAGAATTGCATGGGCCAATCTGGCTCTTCCAGTGTGAGAACTGGGAGACCTGCACATGAACAGGGTCCATCCGTTTTTCCTGATCTCCCCCAGTGCCCGCCCTGGGAGTGTTCTCCCGTGAGTGCCGCAAAGGACTACCTGGCAAGATTGCTGGACCGTCCGAAGCTGAGACTGCAAAGGGAAAAAAGAAAACCACAGGTGGAGAAAACACATAATATGGAAAGCATCGCCCGGTGCTTCCAATTCCCTACGAAGAGTAAGAGCTTCATACTCCCTTCGGACGATCTTCGTACATCGAAGAAAACAAATCCCATCCAAGTTCAAAGGGATTCTTGATGTCTACAGACCGCTGCTAGAAATATGTACGGAACAGTTTCAGTACAAGATTGGGCAGCATGTTTTTTTTTCCTGCGAATTCGCAAATGATTCAGAAATACAACGAATAACAAGTTCACATTCTGCAGCATTCATGGTCACGCCACAAGATGTTGATATCCTAAGACAGAATACCCTACACAATTCCACATAATGTTCACTTGAAAGGTCAAACATGGACATGTAAATCATGTAACACGTTTCGGAGTTTTGTTTGGTTGAAAACTTGCCAGGACCCTCCAAATCGTCTTCCAATATCAATATCCAAATTTCTTTGCGTACTCTGGACCCTCCAAGTTTAGCTCCTGATCCTAGGCAATCTCTATATATTCACTTCACATACGAGGTCAACAGTCCGCCAAGACCTTCAAGTTTAAAGGTGTTGTGTCCGTTGTTCTTGAAGTGTTTCCAGCCATCCTGATCTGTTGCATCGAGCAGAACGATTATATGACCAGCCCGCATCGCCGGGGCGGTTGCACACAAAGGTTTGATATTTGTTGACTAAAAACATCAAACGCCGCCTGAGATCATTCAGGGAAGCCCCAGTATAGTATAGGGTGTTGTGGGCACTGTGGGTTGGCAAACTATAATTTGATTTTCAACAGGTAGGCAATTTTTTCGTTATGCAGCTACAGAGCGGTTCAAATTTCACAACCGGTGGCCATGAGACATCATGCAAAAAAAGGTGTTCAGCCATCCTTGAGCGATAAAAGCCCTTGAGCTCTGGGTGCATGACAATGTTACAACACCAGGGGTACTAAGTTGTGAACAGTAGTCATTCTGTTGCTTTTGACTAGTACCTGATGTCATCTTGTCTGGTGTTCTTCTCTGCCAGTATTTTAGAACAAACAAACTGTTTACATGATGTTGAATGCTCAATGTCTTGCATGTCTCCTTGCCCTCCTGAAAACACCCGCCAAATCCGCGGGATTTTTTCGGCACTGCGGGCCCCAGGCGCCTGCATAGGAGCTCCGAGGTGTATCCCTGGTCGATGTAATCACCGGAATGTGGTCTCGCGCCTGTCGCAGGTGAGCAACGGGGCAACAAAGATCTGTTTGCTCACCCTGGAGCTTCCAGCTTGTACACTCTAATTGACATGATGAAAGAAACAACGCTAGAAGCGAGGCACATGGAGGGTCCCCAATGGTCTCAATGGAGGGTCTCCAGGCTGGCACTTGCACTCGGGGAATAGACATGAATAGACTGTTGTGGAAAAATCCTAGTAGCAAGAAGCTACCAGTAGCAGGGGCATCGCTACTAGCAACAAGTCCATCGCTACTAGGAACAAGGGCATTAATTACTACTAGTAACAAGAAGCTACTAGTAACAAGGTGCCTTGGTACTGGTAGCAAGAAGCTACTAGTAGCTGAGTGCATTGGTACGAGTAGCTGAGTGCAGTCCAAAGGAGCGGCCATTTTCGCGGCTGTACGCGAAGGGCATTGGCCCAGCTGTACTCGAGAGCCAAGAAACCCTGGCCGACACGTCTGGCCCTCACGTTGGAGTGCCCATGGCCAAAGGTGAACCGCACTGGCTGCACTCACAGGTTGAGCTACCCTAAGCTGTTAACACTTGCATACTTCGCTGTCAACACTTGCATGTGTTTGGATGAAAAACACCTGATCAATGATCAACACTCCATTTGCCACTACAGCCATAGGGAGTCAGTGCAACAACAGCAACTCTCTATACATATCTAGTGTTCCACTCAGCCATCCGACTCTTGGGGTTGCTACCCGCGTCGGCCACTCAGCCCAGGAGTTGTCTACCTGCAGCGGTGGCGCTGGGCCTGGCATCGGTGGCCATCCGATGTGCAGGAGCCAGCTTGAATGAAGTAGATAAAATACAATCAATTAGATACCCAAGCCCAAGCCCTCGCAGGTATATCCCATCAATGACCAGTAACAATGGATGATGATCATGATGGTGTAGTCAATGCCTTTCCCAACAGGCATACTAATCCGCAGAAAAACATATTGACTGGTACCTCAAAAACTATGGAAAACAGTGCCTCGGTGCGACCTTAATTCAACGTTCATCTAGTTTGTGAGAGAAAAACATGATCCGGATCTGCAAAACAGTTTGGAAGACATACGTTGCCAGCGCGGACATCCGTGCAGCACGATACGTGTTGACTTTTGGCACCAAATACGACCCAGATCTGCACATCATCCACCAGAACGCACCAAAAGACCCCACACCCAGCTGGCCCGGGATGGCATGCCGATGACCAAGACCTCGACCCCGCAGCATGGCCACGATGGTTGCTGTGGTTCAACACAGTTTTTCATATTCACTCTGGCCCCGAGTCGACTCTCCAATTCATGTTCGGCAGCTGCAAAAGAAAGAGATCAGTACTAGCACAACGTCAAGACGTTGTAGGACTCCCATTGTGCACGGTCGATTCCTTGCTGGGTGCCATACATGGAAGTTTTGAGCTACCCAGGATAATCGTTATAGTAACTTTATGTAACTTTACTACTCCCCCAGGATCATCTACTAACATCGAAAAACATGACCTCTTTCCCAGGGAACTCCTATACTACAGTCAACAAAAAACAACGTTCACCCAGTTCACCACGGTGTCTTCTCACTCCGTCCATGCCCTACGGCCGATATCCACGCTGCCCGGAACGGCGCAGTTCGCGTCCGCCGCGCCGGAGATGCTGCGTGGCTGCAATCACCGCGAAGCCCAGGACCCCGAAGCAACAAATGCCTTCCGTCAGGCTGTCCCGCCAGGTGCGGAAAGCGAGTGGGGTGGACGAAACAGCGGAGATGGAAACGAAGGCAAGAATATGGCAAGTATGAGCGGAAGTGTCCAAGCTTCAAGTCGGAATAGTTAGTCATTCTCATCATAAATCCAACATAATTAACCAAAAGCGTTGATGAAGAGAACCTCTGCCTTGTTGAATTTGGTTCAAATAAATTCATAAATTCAACTACCTCCTGAGAAGTACGTGCTTGGGTGGGCCAGCTACCTTCTGAGGAAGCACTTGGAGTCCTAGGGACAATACCAAGCACGACGGGTGTGCTAGTCTTGGATGCCCCAGATTCCCAGGACAACACTACACGAGATATATTTAATATATACAGTGGTTTCAGAGTAGATGGCACAATCCCCAAAAGGTGGTTTATATGGACCCCCATCTAAATTAAACAACATCTAGGGTTTGTGCCATCTACTCTGAAACCACTGTAAACGAATAATATGTAATGGTCCCTCCAAGATCTGCTGTAAGATCTTTAAGACACTTCTTGTGACAGGAACCCTCCAAGTAGATCCAGCATCCAACAAAAAGAACAACCGTGAGCTGCATGACTTACTTTGCATTTCCAGGGAGGCAATACAAATGCAATTGCTCAAATCCTGTGCGACCTTCATCAAGCCCACACATGTCCAAAACTCCAACTCCTCAGCCAGGCGCACCTGCCACTGGGCTCCCAGAGAAGTCGGAGATCCACACGCTCAGGCGCACACAGACGGCCGCAAAGGCTAAGGCACTCAGCAACACCGGGAAGCTGCGCTGGAGCTTGAAGCCCAAAGCTCCTTGAAGTTTCCAAGAGATCCAAAGCACCAATGAGTGTTTTTTGAAGCTATGAAAGATTCAATCCATTAAAGGCCATCTCTTGCTTGCAGGGTTCTTCAATAGTTGTCAGAAACCTGGCATTTCCATGACACCATAATTGGCACGTCTCATGAGTCCACTTCAAACCATCGCTTCGGAACCGAGGCCCCCAGTCTGAACGTGACGACGTGTCGTCTTTCCAAGTGTCCGATGAGACAGTGCACCATCGCATAGGGTGCCCACCCAGTGAGTTCCATTCCAGGATGTGCGATCGCAAACGTCGCTAACCTCCGGCGGATGGACCAAGGGCATCACGCCCGGAGCGGACCAAGGGATAGTTCCTTTGACTGGGATAGTTTGTGGCAGGGGTTCTTCTGTAGCAACTGAACATCCCTTGAGGCCCTATATAAAGTATATGCTGCAACATCAACCTTGGCCTGGAGGATGGCATATCTGTTCCTGCAAACCAGTTTTTGCCAACTCCTCCTCACTCCAAGAAAAAGACACCGACCCACTGGCCCCGGCGTCCCAAGGCACATGCCCGAAGCGCCGGCACCCATTCCTAGGACCCCAATATTCAGGCTCCACGTGACCAGCTCCTGAGATGGACCAAGCGTGGTAAGCGTGTCTCTGGTTCTATGAAGTGGTTGTGGCTCAAGTTGGGAACATATCTTCTGTGATATCGATAAATATACTATGATTATATATGGTATATTTATAACTTATACAGTAACTATTTGTTGGTTTTACAGAAATCATGGTGCCCCCCCAGCTTCTTCAATCTTTTGATTGACTTTTTGACCTCAAACAAGGGGATGAACAAGTCACTTGGAAGAACCAGGTATATACCATATTGTATAATCCGCCGACCCCACACCGTGGGGTGAGGCGTGACTGTCGATGTTAGCCTTACTTAAATAATCTTTTTTTTTATAACTTGTTAAGTAGAGTTAACCAAATTATCAAAAAGTTATTAACAAGTTATAACTAGTTAGCAAGAGTTAACATGTTACTTTTTAAAGGTCATATGGTAAAGAAAATAAGCTTTGAAAAATAAAAAAGATAGTAACCAGCTGCTTGATTTTAGCTGGTGGCTCTTATTTACATCGAATAAAATCACATGGTTTTGAAAAATGTTTCTTTTGATGGAAATGCCACATGGCAAGCCTTTTAATTGTTCATATCAAAATGTTCCAATAAACTATACCAACACACCCTACATGAACACTTTTGCTGGGTTTGATAAAATGCCAAGCCAGGCGACTATTGCATTGCCACTGTTCATGCATTCACTGGCTTGATGAAATGCCATAGAGCCAATTTTGGTGCTTCTTAGAAAGACAAAACCTGCCAACGCATGGATTGGATGCTTTTCTTCAGCATTTGGGAATAGATTGGGTAAGGCAGAAGCACTTTGGCTGTGCCTGTGCTTTTGTGGCAAATCACAGGCACAATGATGTCTGCTGTAGGTACAAATCCCAAGTTGTGGTCCAGCACTTGGCAAATTGCACATTGCTTATGTGGTAGCCATTCTTTGACCAGCCAAGACTTCACCAAGGTAGTGGCAACATCATGCAATAGGAAATGCAATTGGATTTCTGCAATCCCCATGGACTCACCTGCCTGGTATATCACAGTGTCATCCTTGAAGCAGCTCATATGGTTCACTTTGGCACACTGGCTGCTCTGGGCCTCTCCAATTGGCTCACCAATCAAATTGGATAAAGTTTGTAAACTTTTCTTGGAAGCTGAGATGGGGTCGACCAAATGCACACCATCTTTGAACAACTGTGGCTGGTCCAAGTGGCAGATCTCCTTGGCAAGAGCTTGCTCCAAGAGATTGGTTTCAAAATTCTTCTTGTTTAGCAAACTAGTGGCCAATTGGCCGATTGGCTTGTGCTTTCTTTCATTGGCAAAGCATGATGGGAGGAAGCCAACTCTTTGGTGTGTATCTGGCATGTGGAGCAGCCAATGCCATTTCTTTATCAATGACACTTCTGGGAAGGCAGCCTGGAAGCACTGGACCCATGGCACCTCCATCACACTGGTTCAAAAGGAACCTTCTGGCATCTCTTTGCTCTTTTGGAGAGCTGTAATCAGGTAAGCCGGTCTTCTTGGCTTCTGCAATCATAGCATGCAAGCTGGTTTGGCTATGGTGTGGCAAATTGGCCTTGAACTGTTGGAGTTTGGCCAGCTTCTGAGGCCTGGAAGAGGAAGCAGCCATGGTTACAGAAGAGCAAAAAAAGGGTGTGAAAGCAAGGGTGTTGTCCTTCTATCAGTTAAGGGTGCTGTCCCTCTTGCAAGAAGACTGGTTGACCATGTAAATATACATATACCTTGCACATGCTTGCACATTGCATATATTGGAATTGGTGCTGAAGGATGCACATTGTGGAACTTGGCAAGAGCCAAACTCAAAAGGTTGCTACAATGCACAAAGCCAAAAGCATTTATGGAATGCAGGTTTGGACATACTATGATGTAATGCCAGAAGTGACCATGATGTAATGCCAGAAAGGCCAGTGCACACAAACATCTAGCTGCCTTTTGGTACCATGGAGCAGTGTCATTGCTACACAGCCAAGCACCTTTGTGAACCCCTTGGCAAATGTCTTTGCAACCCTTTGCGCAAAAGGCTTGGTGAGTGCATACCATAGTAATGTGGCATCACCCCTGTGCCTTCCTGGCCTGTTCCCATTGGCACCATTGCTGCCTGCTTGAAAATCTCAAACCATTATAGGATGGCTGGAGGCATTGGGAACAACCTTTGATGTTCCCTCTGCATCTCAGACAGCCAAATGGCCCCTTAGTTGGTGGCTTGCCATAGTACCCATACTTGGGCTTACTGCATGGATGGGACTTGGTCAGCTTCTGCTGAGACTTGGCAACAGGCTTGGCCTTGGCCTTGGATTTTGGCTTGGCTTTGGCCTTGCCTTTGGCAGCAGCCTTTGCCTTGGCCTTAGCCAGTGAAGTGAAAGCTTCTTTCTCAAATTGGTCGAGCTGTGAAGCTTCTTTCTGACTGTCCTGGCCAAACAACAAAATATACAAGTGTTGGGCATGCAATATATCATTGAATATAAATCCAAGGTTTGTTTTGGATGATGGAAACTCACACACAAGCCCAGCCTCCTGGTGCACAGTGCTTGCATCCCCAGCATCCATTTCAAGAGGCAATTCAGCTGGCATTGGCTCTTTTGGTGGCAACTCCAACTTGCTAGGACCAGCAGGTTGAGAGGAAGCAGTGTCAATGAAATGGTTTGATTGTGGCACAAACTTGGCCAGCAACTGGTTGAGCGCATTACCCTGGCTGAGCACAGCTCCCAGGATGGACTCATTCTGTGGTTGACAGCTGGTTTGGCCTGTGGTCCCTGCCTGGGCATCTTCCAACTGTTTGTTGGTAGCCCTGCAAATCACCTGAGGTGCAGCACAGTTGGAAGGCTTGTGTAAAAATGTGTAAATGGCATGCGCATCAAATGCACCAAGTTTTTGTATCTAAATGCAATCCAAGTACAATGGATGCCCAACCATGAGGGATGTTGATCAGGGCAGGTGCATCATGCTTGTAGACTTTGGACAACCATTCCTCACCCAACTCATGTGGATTTGCTGGGTACATGGGCAGCCCTCCCACATCACTTGCAGGTGTGGAATGAAAAATACTAGTAAGATCTTTCAAAAGCAACTTCCTGGTTGTAGCAATTGGCTGTGGCTTGCCACCCTTGTGCACCAAGCAATAGAAGACAGTGGCCATAGCTTGGATTTTGGTTTGTTCCTTGAGGGACACCAACCCCATGGATCTCAACCTGCTTGCAACAATGGCCATGGTGTGGAGAGTGTTTGCTGGTGACTCTTCCAATTTGGACCAGTCTTCTTTGGAAAGGTATGGGCTGAAACATTGAATGGTCTGGCCAGCCATCACAGTCTTCAAATGATTACTCTCTTGGCCCATGGATTCAATAGCTTGTTGGATGTGTGCCTTGCAGTCTTCTGGCAGGTTGGTGGTGCTGAGCACCTCTACCAGCTGGCAGATGGCAGCACTTGTCCAATCTTTGGTAGCTTTCAGCTTGGAGCACAAGGTCTTGGTCAAGTTCTGAATGAGATTGCCACCTGCATTACATTGGCACAGTTTGGCCAAATGCTTGATCTCTTCCAAGTAGTCTTCCACTTTCCACAAGTGGGTCATGGCTGGGCTTAGGTTGTCAAGGCAGGTGCTGGTACCAAATGCTTGAAGCAACAATTAACCAATGGTTGTTGTGATTTGCATTGAAAAGGTGAAAAGAACCTGGCTCACATGCAAGAGGAGAAAGCATGAAACCTAAACTAAGGTGCCTATCCACAGAATATCATAGCATGGTTGCTAGGCAACAAAACCCAAGGACACTTGTAAGGCACAGCCAACAATTAGTGAAGCCAAAGAGACCACTAGGCTGTGGCTTGCATGAGTTAGGTTCAGAATTCTGAGCTTAACTTTTTGAATGGATTTGATTGAAGTTGAACTCAAACCAAATAAATTTCTAAATTCTTCATTGATAAAATGCCAAAGATGGCAAACAAAACACTGATGAAATGCCAATGATGGCCAATGATGCACTGCAAGTGTTGACAAATGGTAAGTTGATGAAATGCCACAATGGCAACACAGGACAACTGAATGCGACAAAGTGTTTTTTAATGATGACACTTAAATTGTGCACAAGCTGTATTATAACAGTGCAAAACACGCAAAGTCACAACCCAAAGCACAAAGAAACACTCTATTGTAGGTAGAATTCAAGTATTTCAGCCACTGTACTACATTGCCAAAAATTACTTAGTGGCTAATGACTGGTGGCCAATTGTAATACATTGCCACAAACTGGCTTAGTGGCCAATGAATAGTGGGCAATATGGTTATTGCCACAAACTGGTCAAAAAACAC